AAAAAAAGTATTATATGAAACAATTTCCCAAGATTAAACAATTTCATGAAAAAAATTCATAAGATTAAACAATGAAATCGACAGATGAAGGTGGTTTGCACAGTTTACACAAATGAGGGCGGTTTTCATATGATCACTCCTCTCTCTCTCTTTCTCTCTCTCTCTCTCTCTCTCTATATATATATATATATATGTTGACAATCATACACAATATACGGCTTCCAACCATCACATTATTGACGACCATACACATAGCCACATGATTTCCATGCATCACATTCGGAATGTAAAATATAACATGTACAAATAATCATCATAATCATATACATAATACATAAATATGTGTGCATTCCATGCGAAAAAAGTCACATAAAACTCATCTTGAACTCAAGTAAGCTTACTTGACACTTGTTTGCTTACGACCAACAAATACATTATACATGCCCATCTAATCACTTGTACTAGTCACAAAATGCTAAACACCGTTGATCTAATCATTTAAAGTTGAATTGAGCAGTACCAAACTATGTCATAATTATAAGCCACTTCAAATGCAACTTTGGAAGTGGTTTTCAAACTAGCATTTGTTATGTGACTTTGAAGGTGCCTCGAGCTAGCATTCGTTGTGTGACCTTGAAAGCTATTTCTGAAATAGCTTTAAATGCGACTTTCAATGCAGAATGGTTGTTCTCGAAAAGTAACAAGTTAAAATCCATAAAAACTCATTTCAATCGACCTATAACAAATCTTGGGTATACTACAAACAGACATACTGAAATCATAACACGCAGAAACATCAATTCTACTAACTATCATGCACCAAATATATGTCATTAACAATGCATATCAATATGAACTCATAATGACTGATGCATTCGTGCTAAAACAAAATATTTAAGTAGAACTCTTACTTCTCTAATTTCTCTTCTTGAACTTGCTACACACTTATACCTCTAAACTTGTACTAGTTTATGCACTTTTTTCATATCTCTTTTGGGTATCGTTAGAAAATATTGGTGAAACAAAATGACAATAGTTTTTGTCCATCATGTAATTATTTTGGAGCTAAGGGTTACGTTCTGATGAGAAAAAGAGTTGAGGTGAGAAATGTAAGAAGAGATCTCCACCATTTGATGCACATTAGGATGAGATGTACCGGATCAATCCATGTATCAAGCGCGATTCATGAGTGGACTTGAGATTAAAGGTGATCAAAAATCCAAATATCTTCTTACCTGAACTTTCATTTTCACACGATCTTTCGCCTTGGAACTAAAACGTCTTGCTAAGGAGTTCTTTTATTTCGATAGACAAATATGATTTTTGCATACTCCTACACCGTTGTTTTTTGAAAGCAACTTTCACATCGTTATTAATGTTTATTATATAACATTTTCAATATATATAATAATTACTTTATATAATAAAACATAATAATTCAAATCCGTAGTTGTTGGGAGAAGAAATAGACAACATTTTTGTACCATAAATTGTGTCTTGTTTGTTTTACGGTAAACTGTGAACAACTCTTCCAATTTTGGTAACTCAATTGTCACAAAAATAAAAAATAAAAAATATTAATTCAAATATTTAACAAGCTAATTGTGCTTAAATTTAGGGACTCTCTTGTTGGTTTTCCATTAAATTATGCATATATAAAATTGTATGTGTTGATTAATCTTCTTGTATGGAATATGCATGTTCTTTAATCGGGAGGGAGAGATGGGTTTGAAAAAAAAAACTTGGGTTTTTTTGCATAAAGCTTCCACCTAACACTTACTGGATAAGACATTTTTGTATTGTTAAGTCACAACCAAACAGTTACATATAGTTGATCGAATAAGTTGTCAGTCACATTAAGCTCGTTAAACCGCTAAAGAAAAGACCCTTAGTAATTCTTGAGCTGAAGCCGATCTTAGTCAAGAACGGACATGTCATTTGAGTTGGCTTGCAAATAACCCTATTGTCATCATTATTTATCGAATCTGAATCCAAATAGAACCGGTATAATTAACCAAATACATTGATACTATGTTTGAATTCTCAAATATTTTGGATAGTCGAGTGTTGTATATGACAATATAGTTACAAATTTCAAAAAAAGTGTTTAAGTTCAATAACCACTGTGAAACATTTTATTTATATTCGCATATACGTTTTATGGATATCAATAGAATTTGTAGTTTCTGGTATTTTTGTTTTTTGCAACAATATTCTGATTTTTAAAAATAAATAAATAAATATATATGTATAGTAATAAATTTATAATTAAAGATTGTAAATTAAAAAAATAATAAGGTTGGTTTACGATAATTGAAAGACGCAATCAGTGCTGCTGAGGAGTGGGACCCAGAGAGAGGGACACGAGGGCCCACCACTGTTTTATGGATTGAATGATAAAAAGAGCACCTCACGTGGACTCTGAACCAAAGGCCTCTGTCCAACCACAATTAAAGGAACCAACTCCTCCCTTCATTTTTATTATTATTTTTATTTTTTTAACATTTTTATTCATATAAAAAAAAATTAAATTATATATATATATACATATACATACTAAATAATTATTAAAGATGTATATCTACAAAAATATAAATTGGAATGTTTTTGGGGATCACATAATCTATTTGATTTCATAATAATTTTAATTGGAATTTTTAAAAGAAAAGTTTAAAACAAAAATGATAACAATATCTGGAAAAGAAAATACTTTTTTGATACATTCCAATCAATTTTAAAGATAACAGCAAACATGTCAACAAAGTCATTCTTTTCCCTTTTTTTTTTTCTTCTCATTTTACACCTTCATCCCTCTACTATTCTTCGGCTAACGTTCCAGCCCGTGTACGTGTTTCACCACACCACATCTATTGCTTGTGTTTCCGTACTAGTACCATTCACTCATTTATCTCTTGAAAATACTTATTTTGGGCTTCTTCTCATTCATGTCTGCATCTAACATAACAAGAAAGCTAGAGATCTATATAAGTTGAGGGGCATTACGATGTCTCATCTCACATTGATTACGATTTAGAATTCTCCAGTTTAACTCATGGTTACAAATAACCTTTTAAGCATGATTTTCATTTGCTTTTAGTAATTAGGTCACAAACCCATTACTGATTTGTGTTTGAGACGTTAATTAGACATGTATGTGTTTAATTTACAAACCAAGAGAATATGCAAAATAGTATACCATGTGCCAAGAACGGGATATAGCAAAAGCCCCCAAGGCATAACATATTTTGTTACAGCTAGGGCCGGTGGTATATTTGTCCAAACAAACAAGAGTTCGAATCTGGTAGGTCGCATTACGAGAGTTACAGTTCTTTTGTGTATTGGGTTTCTTGTGAACATTAATTAGGCTCTTAAACCAACCATTTAATTTAGCATGTCAAATTAACGATGTGGGTCAATTGCCTTAGTGGATTACAAGTTAGAAACTCTCCTTTTTACACAAAAGGATATTATAAAGCTTTCACGAAAACATAGAAATGTGAGAAAGAAGTGGACTTGCACAAATACAGCGTACGTTTTATTCATGGTAACATCAATCATTTTCTAGTCGAAGGACTAAAAATGTAGGTTGACCAATACTTTATATACCAAACACATATATACTTTAAAACTTAACCTTCCTCTTTTACCCAAATTTCTTTTTGTTTTTGCTTTTTAAAGGTCACCCTTATAATTCCCACTCATTATCTTTGTTGCTTAAAGCTTGCCCTCCTTCCCTTATCCTTCCCCCCCCCCCCCCCCCCCCCCCCCCAATCTCTCTACAAACACATCAAATGTGATGGAATTTCCAGTTTCAAGAGAGAGACTGTTTATATGTTCTGAAAGAGAAAGAAATTAAGACCCACAAAAACCCTAATTCAGTTCACAAAATCTTCTTGGATTCTTGATCATTCTTGATCATATTATAAGTTTAGAGAGAGAGTAAGGATGTGTGTGTGTGTTTCTTGTAGGTTTTAGTGTGTGTGTGTATGTGTGTATATTATATATACATATATATATTTATAATATCTCATGCGATCATGGATGGCGGTGATGATCACTTCCACCACCGGCCAAACTTCCCTTTTCAGTTGCTTGAAAAGAAAGATGATGAAGCCAGCTGTTCATCCTCCGCCACCGGAGCATACCCTTCTCTTGCTATCTCCGCCGACACTAACATAAACCCTATTGGTAGATCCAACACCTCCAATCTGCAAATAACAACCACCACCGCCACCACCTCTTCCGCCGAGCCCTCGTCAAAGAAACAACCACCCAAGAGAACTTCAACTAAAGACAGGCATACAAAGGTCGACGGCCGTGGCCGTCGTATCCGTATGCCGGCTTTATGTGCCGCTAGGGTTTTCCAGCTTACTCGTGAGCTTGGACACAAGTCCGATGGTGAAACCATCGAGTGGCTACTACAACAGGCGGAGCCGGCCGTCATCGCAGCAACCGGTACTGGTACCATCCCGGCGAACTTTACTTCACTTAATATCTCTCTCCGGAGCTCCGGGTCAAGTATGTCGGTTCCGTCTCAGCTCCGATCCACTTATTTCAACCCGAATTTTACTCTCCCACAAAGGAGGAATCTTTTTCCGGGTATTGGGTTATCTTCGTCGGAGAATTCGTCATCTAATCTTTTGAGTTTTGGTTCGACGATGAATCTGAATCAAATATTACAAGCGAAGCAAGAAATGAGGGAGAATCCGGTGGAGTTATCGGAGACGGAGGAGAGTATGGGAAGAAAACGGCGGCCTCCGGCGGAGCTGGATTTGTCGTCGCAACACCAACAACAGATGGGAAACTATTTGATGCAGTCAAGCACCGGAGCGATGGCGGCAAGTCACCCATCGATTCCGGCAAACTTTTGGATGGTCGCTAATTCTAACCAACACCAAGTGATGAACGGCGACCCTATCTGGACTTTTCCGAACGTAAATAACAGCGCCGCTGTGTATAGAGGGACGGTTTCCAGTGGCTTACATTTTATGAATTTTCCGACACCCGTCGCGCTTCTGCCAAGTCAGCAATTGGGGGCTGGAATTGGCGGTAATGGTGGTGGCAATGGAGGCAGTGGCGGTGGCGGTAGTGGTGGTTATAATGAAGCGCAATTGAACATGCTTGCCGGATTAAACCCATACAGACCAATATTTGGTCCAGGGGGATCTGAACCTCCGGCCAGTGGGTCTCAGTCTCACCACCGTGGCGGCGGCGGCGACGGCGGTGATCGCCATGATACAACCAGCCACAACTCGTAGGGGATTCCCGCCCCCACGATTGTGTTGTTAAATTTGATGTGTAAAACACACGTGAGGTTTGATTTTCTCCATTTTTTTTTTCAAAATTTTCTAAAAACAATTCTTAAATATTCTGATTTTTAATTTTTATTTAATTTTCCCATTTCGGTTGTGTGATTAATATAATCAAGATTTTCAAAGGGTTTGAGGAGAAAATGCGGTTTTAGTCATAAAAGATAATATATATATATATATATATATATATATCCCATTTTTTGTATTCTTAATATGAATTTTATATAATTTAATTCATCTTTTATTTGGAAATATAAATAACTAATTACAACTAACAGTTAGAATTTACTGAATTACATAACTGAAATACACTTGTATATTAAATTTTAGATTGTCTTTTTAAAAAAGATTACAAGTGTCGGTATATAGGAAAAAAAAACTATTTGATCTTTATTTTTTAACAGTATTTCAATAATAAGAATCAACCGCACAACCTAACACACATCGAAACCCACTCAATTCTAATTACTCAACACATGGACCATTAAAAAATAGATGGAATATTGTAATTGTTCGTATATTAACGTCTAGATTAATTACTGTTTTTTGTCTTTGCACAAATATTTTTCTCCAATGCTTTCGCTTTTGTATATGTCTTTAGTTATGTCGTTGGTCAAGACTATTAACAACCATTATGCCATCATCATCACCACCACCGCAATCACAATACATGCAGGCTGTGATTTGTAGTTAAGTCACAAATTAAGCCAAAAAAACACAATGTATATTAAGGACATATTCAACTCGACACTCAATTCCATTTTTATATCAATTCACTCTAACCGAACATAATTGTACATCATTTTGGTGTTGATAAATATGATACCAAATTTGGTATTCTACTATTTCTTTGCATTAACTATTTTTAATCACAAAATAGTCCTTCAAATTTGATATTTATGTAATTTAGTTTATTTGATTTTAAATAATACTTGGGTTATAACCTTGTCAACATTATGTTAATAAATTTTATTCATATTAATTGTAAACAACCAATACATAGATTTTTTTAATAATATACTTGAAGTATTTGATTTAGTATTAGAAATTATATAATAATTAAAAGACGAGTCATTATTTATATCAAAATTGCAGATTTTTTGTTTGTTTTTGCTTTTAAAAAAAGAGAATTAGTAACCAGAGTTTGTATCATTTTAGTATTAAAAATGATGCAAAAGATAAATTTTCCTAATAAATGCATTAATTCTTAATTGTTATATGATCTCATGATAATTAGAAAAAATAATAGAAATTTAATGTGTATTTTATGGATGTTTGACCGTATTTAAAATTAAGTCAACCATTATTTTTTTCAATTTATTGCTGGGATATGAGAACATTGAACAAGTCTTAATAATGGTAGAAGCTATTTTTTTTTTAATTTTTTGACTGGATTAAAAATTCAATTTATAATTAACGAAATCTTATTTAACTTGTAATTATATATATATAGTGAAGAAATTTTCACATTAAAAACCACTTAATATTCGTTTATTAATTTTTCATATATATATATATATATATATATATATATATAAAACACCAAATAATTGAAATTAAAATTCCTTAAATACACCTTTAATTAATAGTATCATTTTCTCACCAATTTATTTATTTGTAGAAAAGGCGGAGTGAAGGGTGTTTTTGTACTTTGGCATAATTGGTAATGGAGAAATGAAAGGTTGGGGTAAGTAATAATAATAAAGAAAATCAAATGAAGTGAAGTGAGTTGGTAATATTTATAACTAACTTAACCTATGTTATGTGTCATCATTTTTTAATAATTTCAAATCATGCCTACTTTGAAACCAAACACAAAAGCTAAAAGAAGCTTCTTCTTTGTTAATCATATATTTTATATGATTAACAAATATGAGTCTTATGGTTTTGTTTTCTAAAATATATATATATACATGTTAAGTTTATTTTTATTTTTATATTTATACATACATTCGCCTTTTAAGATAATACCATTAACTTCACTACATCATCAATCTTTTATGTAAAGGGTAATTTGGTCTTCTTATCCTTCACCTGTGACTACTATACAACCGTCATCCAAACACATAAGCCATATGAACATTCAAAACGTCAACAACCTCAATCTAAATCTAAAATACATGTTCTAAATCAAATCTCAACAACATTCATAATTAAATATTCAAAATCATCCATACAAACCTAAACTCAAGAACATTAAAAAAACAATCACAACAATGACATTCATACACAAGAAGATCTTTGCCTTCTAGATTCATACTTGACAACATTCCTAAATTATAACCGAAATCTAAATAAAGAACAAGAAAAACCCTAATTCATATACAAGAAAATCATTAGCTTTCGTATTCATACTCAACGATTAGATGCTTTGACAAACTTGAATCATTTGGATCCGCTTTCAAACAAGACTTAAACGAGATCATGTCGCATCTGAAAACCAACCTTGCTAGGTGTCGCCTTCAAAAGCTGGATATATATGCCTTTCAAGTACAAACTTGGCTCGCTATAGAAATGAAGGGGAGGGGTTTAGAACTTGGTTCGCAAAGAAAGGATGGGGTGGGGGAGTTCACGTGTTGCAAGGACAATTACAGTTTTATAAAAGCAAAAAACTTTTTTAGAAGACAAGGAAAGGGCTAAAACTTAGATCAGGGCTCTCATGTAAGGGGTACATGATGGGGGTTGATGATTTTAACATTGACGAATGTTTTTGTTATGTGAAACATGAAAGAAGGATCACCGGCATACTTAATGAATTTTTGGGACCAAAACCAAAAATTAGTCAAAGCACAAGACTAAGGTGTAATTCACTCAAAAATATTGTATGTGTGCGTGCGTGCTTTTGCATGTTTATGGTGTTGGATTTCTGTAAGACCAACCACTTTTGGTGAGACCATAAGACATATGGTGAAAGTTCGGATACACATCATGAAGGTTTGGTGTGTTTTAATTTTCCTAGAATATTTGTTATGTTTTTTCTTGTGAAGGTTCCGATATATGCTATCAAGGTTCAATATTATTTATCGTGAATGTTCGGTATTTTGCTGTGAAAATTCGACGAGATAGAAAATATCCACCCAAGGGCTCACATGGTGTCTCACGAAAATGTCTTGTCTCACATAATTACAAGTCCATGTATGTATATATGTCCCTTCAAGTATTCTAGCTTTTTATATAGAAATACTATGTTTTAAACTTTTAAAAGTAGAAATTCGTCTATATTTTATTTCTTATTTATCTACTGTCAACCTACTTTTAACATAGTTCATATGCATTAAACGAGACTTCTTTAAAGGGGTAAAAATGTCATTAGAGAATTTTCTTTCTATTTATTGCAACCCCTTCATGGATGATAATAGAAGTATCGTATTTTACACAATCATATCCTACGATATTTATTTGATCTGACATTTCAAGATGTGGATCACTTTAACCGAAGGAATCTGTACATAATTATTTCCTTTTCATATGTCCTTAACAACACTATTTGGTTTGTTTTTAATAAATTTTACGTACTTATGCGGGTGAGAAGTACCCTACATAGGAAAAGACGTATGCATGACCCTGATAGTAAATGTCATTTAAAATTTGAAAGTAATATTCACAAATAAAGGATGCAAATTAAAACATGCATCTATGACTTGCATACACTGAAATTATGGTTTGTGTTATAATGTTCTTTTATTTTCAAAACAATTAGTGCGACTAAGCTAATTCAGACTTCATATATGTTTTCAATGTATTCTAAATGATCCTACACAATACCTTGTTAAAGACTTGTACATGTATGCTTCGATTCGATATTTAATTATATACCACGTAGAGTTTCTACAAGTCATGCATCAAAATCGTTGTTTAATATGATGGTATAGGTGATTTCTTTACGTGACTATATATCACTATCATCTTAGCTAAGGAAAGTTGCTTTCATATTAGGTTTTCGTGTTATCAAGTTGAAGGCACACCGATGATCCTACCACCAAAATCAAGTAGTCAAATGTGTGAGACTTTACAAAGACGTTGAGTCCATGTCAATATGTACAACAAGATGCACTTATTCACAATAGTGGATCCAAAAATTATGGTAACGAGGGTCGTAGTTTAAATTATTAAATTTTTGTATATTTATAAAATATGAACTTTATAATCTAAATTTTTTAAAACTTATAGGATAGGGGTCCATTGACTAGCAAACTAGATCTTTAAACTTTTTTGAAAATTCTTCAAGTAACCGTTGAGATATTTAGTTACATTTGAATCGTAATCGTTTGCTCTCAGTTATACATATATATAAAGCTACACGTGAAGCAATAAAAACAATGCTAATTATTTGCTCGAGATACTTGATTGCCTTTCTTTCCTTTTTTTAGAAATAAAAAGCTCTTTGGTTTAAGCTGATCTTTCAAGATTTTGGTGAAACTTGTTTCATTCAATTTGTTCAACTCATTCTATGTCTCTCTTTTTTTATTTAAATCGGGGGCGTTCTATTAACCTAAGAATTAAATTTCATAATGCTCCTTTGGTGCAACAATAAACATGTATTCTCGTAAGTTATAGATGCATAAAATTCTATATTAATCAAGTCTAGCTGTCATAGGTTTATCTAATTAATTTTTGTTGTCAGGCCAAGTATCATGGACCAATCTCTTCGAGTTTCAAAATAATGTCTAGCTTTCTCTTTAAGACAACTCTTTTTTCACTAAAGTCATAAAAAGCCTTGGAAAAGAAAAGCTCGTGACAGTAGGAGAATCAAGCAAGTCTAGATTAAAAAGGTACTAAAAGGTTAAACGCTAGCTACTTATTTTTGTTGATGTATGTGCAACTTCTCAAACCATTGTTTTTGCATGATGGCTACAACAAATGAACATTGTGTAGTAGTATACAACATCCATCTTTGGTATTATATGAGTCTTTGCTTACTAGAAAGGACCACCGTACCTTCTTTATCACAACCCATTCGTAGTTTTAGTATGTACATCATTTATATTGTCCATTCCTAATAAGTTGG